CAGGCACATGCAAGAACATCGACCGGTGTCAGATCGCCAAAGATGAGCTGAAAAGGGGAAATGTGCCTTCGATATGCGGGTTCGAAGCACGTGTTCCTATCGTGTGTTGCCCCTCAGTGCAGCCAATCTCAACAGAGCCCACGCGTTCCCCGCCAACTGCGCCAGTCACGCCAACACAAGAGAACACTTCAGGCGGCAAGAGTAAACAGAGTGAGTGAAGTCTTCACCAATAAGAACTTTTCTTCAAATTCTTCTGTCCGCATAGGCAAACCAGTAATTATAGCGTTCATTTAATAAAGTTAGATTAAAGTACGTGAGGTCAGTATGGGGTATTATCTGCATATTGTCGTTACTGTACTCATGACATATCACAATGTCAGCGAGGGAACTAACTCTTACGTCGACGAGATGGAGACACAAGAGTTGGATTTAATTATGGATTTTTTAATTCTATTCTAAAACGTATCCGAAAAGAGTTTGTGCCTGTAAAGGCGTCATTAGCTTGGTGTTATTACTTGTATCAATTTGCGCATGCGCGTATATTTAAGATGTAATTTAGTTCCATAGATTATGTATATATCTTATGGACTTAAAGGGACACTGGAAATATTTGATAAACTACTATTTCCTGACAATTTCCATTTCAGGCACGTTAACATATAGAAGATGCAAAAATTCGCCAAGTTTTTCTATCTACATTTAACAACTCGAGAGCCGCTGAACGAATTATCATTAAATTTGGTATTAGGATTCGTGCTAAAATATGTCGACAAACCTACATTTTAGTTAAAATCAGACAACAACAAAATACAATTTATATAAATGCTATATCAATTTCTGAGCGAGGGAGTGACTGGATGGGGAATCCCATCAAGGCAGTCTCCCACGCAGTGACGCTGGGAATCCCCGCGTATGTAGTCAAAGATTAAATGATGGCAAACATCCCACGCAGTGACGCTGGGAATCCCCGTGTATGTAGTCAAAGATTAAATGATGGCGAACGTGTCAGAACTGCAGGCCTACATTACCTTGGATTTTTTTAAGTTTAAATGATGTGTGAATTGTTTGTGCAGAATGCAAGGAGTACTCCAGTTTCGTTTATACGAAAGACGGGGTGACGGTCCTAGTTCCTGGTTACGAATCCAAGAAAGTTTCGCAGTGTGTAGCAGGCAAAACGCTAATCATTGGAGGTGTTGAGGCCGAACCCAAGGAATTTCCTCACATGGTAAGTTTTAGTTTACGAAGTAAAATGCAAAGGACACTCAAGTATGACAATCTGTAGGTATCTAAAAAGCTTTTTTGCCTGACATATAGCTTTTATGCATGCTTATATGAAAGTAATACATGAAAGCATAATATTCTTGGCTCACTGGTCGCAGTATTTCCAACCTTGAATTTTCAAATATTCCTATCTTACCATCGATTACAGGACTACACAGGTTATAGTTTTTTTCTCAAACAGAAAATACAGGTTTCTTAAATGTTTCAGGCTGCGATTGGCTACGGAGCAAAGAACCAGGTCTCGTGGGCTTGTGGTGGAACTCTCATCAGCGAGAGATTCATTCTCACTGCGGCGCACTGCGTCTCGTCAGCAGATTGGTCAGTGACTTGACATTACTTAAGTCAGTTAATTAAAAATTACAATTACAATTAGAGAGAACTTTAGTGGCATGATGTTCATACCAATTTTCATAAAAATCTGTCTCTTGGTTCAAGATCTGTTCTGGGAGATGAATACAGAAGATAATGTTGAGACGCGTAACATCGCCATAAAATAAGGGTGACAGATATAGGAAGAGGATAAAGTGATACGATTACTAAGAGCAGTGGCTGGACATTATAATTCACGTGTTTTTTTTACAGGGGTTTGGCCAAGTGGGTTCGTCTGGGCGATTTAAATCTCAGGTCAACCGATGACAAAACACGGACTCAGGATTTTTCAATAGCCCAAATATTCCGACACCCAGGATACGCCAAACCGGCGCATTACAACGACATTGGCCTGTTGAAGCTAGACCGGGACGTCAAATTCGACGGATATGTGCGTCCAGCGTGTCTTCACGTGGAGCAAGACATCCCCACAAAGATGCCAGAGGCTATCGGCTGGGGGCTTACGGACTGGAGTGAGTAGAAACTCACGATTTGTCAACAGGCATTATAAATTGAAAGAACGTAACATTTTGAAGTAAAAAATCATTTATCACTTGAATTATTTAAAAGCCAGGTTCATGCCTCATCACTCGTTGAGAGAAAGGATATCATTTTGTTAGAAGATTCCCAGGCTTCACCCACTCGTCCTACTGATACTGGTAGAATGAAAGTGACGATATTACAGTAGTGAAATTTGAATACAGACAATGTTACATTTAATTTTTTGAGTAGTTTATAGTAAAGCAGATAGTTTGGAAATATAAATAATTTGGTGGCCTTTATACCAGACAGAGTAATTTAGAACTTAATTTTAAAAAAAATAAAATTTTAATATATCCTCAAAGGAAACACAACGCGTGTTCGTAACAAAGGTCAATAATATATTAATACTAGTATTATTAGTGACAGTGGCTGGGATCTAACCGGGTCCTTTCGAATATTTGGCTAATATGATAACTAGTTCTAGTGGTTAGATTGCTAGCTTATCATTCTAAAGGTCCTGGGTTCGATCCTTCCCGTTGACACCACTACCACTACTGCTACTACTACTACTACTACTACTACTACTACTACTACTACTACTACTACTACTACTACTACTACTACTACTACTACTACTACTACTACTACTACTACTACTACTACTACTACTACTACTACTACTACTACTACTACTACTAATAATAATAATAATAATAATAATAAGGCGGTAAGAAAAGTTTGGAGAATGATTATATTTAACTTTGCAGTTGGTTCGAAAGGCAGTGACGTTCTGCTGAAAGTCGGTCTCAACTTCGTCAATCCAGAGATCTGCAACGACACCTTCGGCCCCTTGATCGGCGGCAGGGAGCTCCGTGTCGGAATTACCGCCGACTCGATGCTGTGCGTGGGCGACCTCAACGGCGGCAAAGACACGTGCAAGGTGAGTAGAACCACGTGGCCCCGATGACCACGTCCCTCCAATTCATTAATCATCCCGTCATTCGTCGTTAAATAAATCAAATATATGAGAGTGGGGGTTGTCAGGGAGGCGAAGACGTCGATGTTGTTCTCGTGGCTTGGCAAAGGCCAGCAGACAAGCACAGTCGCTTTTGATCTGGCCATAACCACGTCATATCATTTAATTCGCAGGGTGACTCTGGCGGTCCCCTTCACATCCGGCTGTCCGAACCGTACTGCATGTTTGACGTGATGGGAATCACGTCCTTCGGAACCATCTGTGGGTCCAAGAACGCTCCGGCCGTCTACACCCGGGTGTCACACTACATTCCCTGGATCGAGAGCGTGGCTTGGCAAAGGCCAGCAGACAAGCACAGTCGCTTTTGATCTGGCCATAACCACGTCATATCATTTAATTCGCAGGGTGACTCTGGCGGTCCCCTTCACATCCGGCTGTCCGAACCGTACTGCATGTTTGACGTGATGGGAATCACGTCCTTCGGAACCATCTGTGGGTCCAAGAACGCTCCGGCCGTCTACACCCGGGTGTCACACTACGTTCCCTGGATCGAGAGCATCGTGTGGAGTTAGTCCTCAGTTTCACTTCGACCGATACAATGACAGAATCATCATCAGCTGGTGACCCGTTCCAGCGTCATTCGTCCCAAAGTATCTTCAGCGAATGTCCACGGTTTCTGAATGCGCGTTCTTTGTTATATTTGAATGGTTTGGGAATTATGTCAACATGTTGACTTCAACTGTTCGTATGTTTCACAACGTTGTCTAATATGTATTTTATTTCTTGTTCTTTAATGTCTTCGTATAATTTAACGGCATGAAGTGTGTTTTATTCGGTGTCATGGTAAAATTAATATTACTTTGTATGAAATTTCTGGAACCGTGATATAATATTTTAATATAAAATATAATAATTTTTTCGAGTGTAGAATATTAATTACGTCTGTCTCCGTCTTCATCGCCCTGATGATGGAGGCAGTATGACCTCTTAAACGTTGGTTACCATCGACCAGACTACACAGCGCAACAACCCAGAAGACAGAAATCTTCAACTTAACCCAAAAACTTACCGCGTACGAAAACATCTGAGATGAAATATCTGCGTAGACACTTTCTCAAAACCTGCAACTACAACTGAAATTCTACGAAAATAATCTAATTTAATACTACGATTAACGTTTATCTTCACTGTACCGGTGTTAGGGGTCTTCAGGAATGTCTAGTGGCCTGACGTCCTCTGCTTCTACTTCAGCGCTCCGATCAACGAAGTCGGGATCCTGGCTTCTTGTAACGCCACGCGACCTGATCTTCATTTCAGTCCTCTTAAGAGAGACGTCTCCAAGCCAGTGTTCCCAGATGAGGCCCCGAAATTCTTCCCTTAAGTCGCTCACCCCGTAGTACCCGCCATTCAGATTTGATTCGAAACAGCTGTAACACGTTCAGTTCCACGTCTAAGATGAATTCAGATTGTGACCGCTTTGAAATCATTTTTCATATCTGACGTTCTGAGCTACTGTTAAAACTAAAAAATTTAAACTTAGAAATAATTCAGAAATAAGAAATTTAAGGAAAAATTGTGACGTGTACAATTTTAAAAATGGTAAAAAAATAGCGTAATTTCACAGCCACTTAAGTTACGCTCGCTGTTAGCGCCCGGTTGGCTGCAGCTGGCTAACGTTTGCATCAGAGGACTTTTATTTATTTATTTATTTCAAAGTGTTAGCCAGGTTAACACGGCTAACATGAATTTTCCGTCCCTGATAACTAACTGCAATGCTATATGAACCAATAAAACCACAGCCCACACGATTATGACGTCTATAAATAACAATTTAATATAATTTAATTATCTCGTGTGTTTCAATAGTTATCGCTTCGTACTGATATTTTTTGGTGTAAGAGAATTACGCCTGTAAGATAAGGGAGTTAGTGGCCGTGGTTAGTATACCTGTAAAACCACCATCCACCTCCATATGAAGGAACACAGGGGCAACAGGCCGGTGCTTTGTCATTGTTACGATCAATTGCGCTGAACGAGAAACCGTCATGAGCGGAAAGCGAATCCGTGGCGTTTCCTCGGTAACCCCCGATGCTTAATCGGTATCCGTTCTCTTCATTCGCTATTCTGGAACAATTAAAATAACTTAAAATTAATTCCCTAAAGGACGACGACGGAAATAATGCGATGGCAACAGGACAAACGCATAAATCATGAGAGTTCGCGAAAATAAAGAAAAATACATTTCTGGAAGTCCCCACTAATTACATTTGTTGGTTTCGCTGTTTTTGGCAACATTCGCAAAATGTCAAATTCTGACGAATAAGCCGGAGTCGTTACGCTATGCATATATTTCCTAACTTGTGTATGATCCCTTCTCTTACGCTAGATGGATGCCACCATGAAACAGTAATAACATAATATTGGCTGCCTTGTCGTTAGTACTGAGAACAAAAAGTTTTTTAAAATACTCCATTTCATTTGCATACCAACTCACTTGAAATGTGTATATTCGGCCCAAGCTGTCTTGCCGTCGAAAGATTCTAGATCCACCCTCAGCGTCACCTCCTGAAGACTAGTCAACCTGCAACATTAAATAAAACCCACGACAACGTTCTTAAAACTTATAAGTGTCCGAGGGCGACTGTCTTCGGGGATGTTGCGCCTTGTCTCGCAGTAATTGACCCAGGTTTCGGAGGTGCTTACTGCCTCCATCATCAGGGCGATCGCCTCTTAAACGTCAGTCTATTTCTACCAGACTACAGAATCGTTTCACACATTGTATCATCCCTTATATGATTTTTGCTGTAAGTACATTAAGTAGACGCTCAGATTCCACGTAATTTGCTTCTAGGCAAGTATACTTAAATCCCTTATGGGGTCTTCGTGTGTTCGTACTTTGTCGCTTGTAAAATTCCACACCTTCGTTCATTTGGTTTCTTCAATACGTCCTTGACCTCCCAGTGGTATTTTATCACGCACCTTTATTTTTTTTGAAAAAAAAGTACATAAGCCGTAAATTCAAATTTGGACTGAGCTTACTTATATAAATACTAAATACCTCTCTAATAAATGATGTTACCGAGTGTTTTAAATTCGCCGACCTTTGGAAGCATTTGCGAATGGTCATTAATCACGAATCTCATTAAATAACAAAACATTACGACAAATGTAAATACCCAAGCTATAATAAAACCTGCTTTTTCTGTTGTTTAAAATTCAGCTTCAAAAGCACCTGTTTTATGGGCATTTCTTTGTTTCTAGCTGTAAAACAAAGACCGAACGAAATGGCTTCTTGGAATGAAGGACTAGTTCTGTAGATCCGTAGGCCTTGACATCGCCTCTGACGTGGGGAGGAGAGGGGTTTGGAATTAATATCTCAGAAATATACGGCGTAGCTGGCTGCAGCTATAATGTTGGACTAGGTGCTTAAAAACTGACTTCTCTGTTCTATTTTTGCCGTAAGAAAATGAACAGCATTATTATTATTATTATATTAAATCTTCAAATTTCTTATGACGGTACAGTGACTCACCTACACAAAAAGGGCACAAACGTTCTCAGAATCTTAGAAAAGTAAAAGGATTCTTAGACGCACTATACTGACCAGTCACGTGATGTGTGAAATACATCCTACGAATGAACGAAATGTAATAAACATATTCGTTTCCAAGAAAACTGTTTCTTGTAGCTCTGTATAAACCACTCTAAAAGAATTAGCTTAAACGTTAAACATCTGGCACCAGAAACTCATCTAAATATAACATAAAAATTCAGTCCGTACCGCAAAGAAAACACGACATTTCACCATTACGAAGAGTAAACATTTAATGTAGTTTAGGGAAATAATCGCTGCTTGCTCTCAGAATCGTACGAAAGGCATAAATGCTAAGTTACTAATTATTAGAGCAAGTGGTAGATATAGTTACCGCTGGGTTTCAAAAGGGCTAAATTCATATTTACAGGGCAATTTTATAGAATGTAAACTGTTCTACGACGTCAAGAATAAATAAAATCAATTACATCGTTCAGTCACTAGAGGGAATAAACCACTCGAAAGATCTAGACATAGATGGAAGGATAATATTTATATGATCGTTCGAAAAATAGGGCCAGAGAATGGGAAGTGAAGTGATTTGGCTCAAGATATGCACTGGTTCTTGTGAACGTCGTAACAAACCTTCGGGTTCTGTAAGAGGAGTGAAATTTATTTACTGGTTGAGCGACTGTCAGCTTTTCAAGCTGCGTCTCGATCCTACATCTAACCCGTCTGACAGACGTAAAATCTGGCCGTGTTATTCCCTTTCGTCTGTCTCCAGGTTTGAACAAACATAGCAATTATCACCTGTGAATGTAGTCGTTCCCGAACCAAAATTCTTGATCCAAAACCCCGAAACCGTTCTTGTAATCCCTCCACGGCAATGTGAAATTAAGCCGGGGCCCAGGGAATTCGCCACGGCGTTGGAAGATCTAAAACATGAACACATTTAAAGCGAGAAGTTAACGATTAATCCACATAAAAACAGACTGTACTCACCTACACCACTATCCCCACCTGCCTTTCCTAACCCAGTGTCACGAAAACTTAGCTCTTAGTTTGTCACATCCTGTATCAAAGCCCAACGTCTTCGAATCTAATTGTTTCCTGTATTGTCCGGTTCAATAAAATATTTTTATGGTTTTTATGGTTTTATGGCTTCAGAGCGCGGATTATATAAAATTAATGCATTTCTGAAAGGTTATGTGTCCGTCCGCGTGTTTAATCCCCGATACAACTAATGGATTTCGATAAAATTTGGTATTGGATATATATAATCAGATTTCGTGGGACTGTCCTAATAATAAATTTACCATAACATATGGGATAAAGTTATTCTTTTAGGAATTTATGCTTTTTAATGTTAAAACCAAATTTATTGCCCCGAAATTGGACGGTTCACGCCCACCTAAGTTCTCCACGAGGAAAGAAACGAATTTGGTAGAATCATAGAACATCATTCCCAAGTGTGATCATAACAAATCAGGCGTTAGCTTTAAACTATAAAACGACATAATTCAATTTATTTAAGTTAATTTAGATGCGACTTACTATAAAACGACATAATTCAATTTATTCAAGTTAATTTCGATGCGACTCTCTTGAATACCAAAATTATTTAAGGTAGAAACGGCTAGTGCTCCTGAACGAGGAATCTCGTCCAATGGCAACATCGAAAGCTTTGCACAGCTTCCAGCGTTCGTCGCCACAAGGTCACTCACCGTCCACCCGCCGCCATCTGTCCTCATATCGCAGTACCGGGTGTAATAATCGCGACCTGCCGAATTTAGCTCGCAGTCCTGTAGACGGTACACCCCACTGTCCATGCCAGACCCCACCAGCTCCTCACAGCTGGAGACTGATGACGTCACTATCGGTTCTATGGCATGCACTTGTTCCAGGTCGCCACCACATCGCAATTCCATTTCCATCTCGTCGTCACCGCTACCCTCGACGTCTGGGAGTTGCGGGGTGCGATCAGGTAGCTCAGGGTCACTTCTACTATCGGGTGCCTGAGAAAGACATTAATATTCAGGAAGACTTCAGGTTTTCAAGGCGGCAAGTCCGAAGATGGGTGTCTCCTGATCTCTAGTCTTATCAGATTACACGTAAACTTAGTAATTTTTTTTAAATTTCATAGCATAATTAAACCAAAGGGAATTGAATCTCTAATACAGACGATGTTTATAAAAAGTAACGCTTGGAACGTCTAAGTTCTTTTATGTACGTCATGTTCTGTGACTGGAGTTGTGATTATATTTTGGGGCATTCAACTTCTTCTGGAGTCCACATTTATCCCTGTCAGCAGCATGGTTTAGTCCATGTAACTGAAGCCGATAAATCTTCGGTTACTGGCTTTCATCCAGACAGATTTATAGACAGACAGCCAGACATGAAAAAGTTATTTTTAAAACTCCAACTCCAACTGAATCATCTATCAGGTTTAAGTCTTCCTATGTTCTGTATGGATTTGTAGCTGAAACACTTTACTGAGTCGCATTCTGTGCCCCTGAAATTGTCTGGAAAACTATAGAAATAATTTGACTTGAAAACAAAGAGGTTAGGGAAAATAGACTAAAGCCATATCCCTGCCAAACGCAGAGTCCACTAGACCACATCATGGCCTCGTTTGTATTTCTTGCTACCAAAGTCTCCGCAGTCAAAACCTAATTTAATTACATCCGAATCCAATAACACGTTACTTACAACAAGTTTGACCTTTGGACACGACGAAGCCAGACTCTGATTGAGAAACTCTCTCTGATGCTTGAAATGGTTTTCTAGGGTCTCAGCTCGCTGTTCGTCCTGGAATGCAATGTTGATAAGAGCTCCTTCTATCTTCTTGAGTACCAAGTCTGCATCGCCTGTGGAGACGCGGAGTCCACGTCGAGTGTCCTGGCAGCAAGAGAGAAGCTGTTCGAACATTGCCATCTGATCCTCCCAGACAGCCACCGTCGTGTTGCTGGCTGTCCTTACTGCCTCCTCCAAGGCCTGCAGAGCTCGCGCTGTCTTCTTTTGTGGGGACGTGAGACGCTTCCATAACCTGGCCAAGCAGAAACCCTCTGCGACTTTTCACGTCTTACACATCTTTCGTATTTATTTCATATTTCATTTAATAACGTTCTAAGTAGCTCAGACTATATAGCTTCGAACAACAGTTTCATAAATTAATTGGAAACTTTATGAAGGGGAGTGTTTGTGGTCCAATTTAAGATAATACCCTGGATATTTGTCTGGAGAGATGGACGCATATACTCACTTAGGATAGCCGGTCTTCGAGCCAATATTTGAACCAGCGGCCTCCCGAATACGAATCACGAGTGTCAACAACTCGATGAATCTTATGGTTAACATATACAAAAATTCGTATTTTACCTGCTGTTTCGTATGGGTGCAAAACTTGGTCTTCTACAAACAAAACGAATATGGGCTTAAGAACATGGCGCTGATAAGAATGCTTCGACCTACTCAAAAACATTGCATAACGAGGATTTTCATAATTTCTCTTCTATTGCAGAAGTGTGTTGTGTGGTTTCTAATAAATATCCATTTACATCTAGGTCTCAAAAGTTACCTTTTTCCTCGAGGTTTTCAGACTAATTTTTTTTTACATATTTATCTCCAATCGTACTACGTTCCCCGCCAATCGTATTTTTCTTAATATAATGTGGATTATAATTGCTTACATATCAAATTACAGAAAGTTCTCTTATAATCCTTGCATACTTACTTGTCCAGCAATTTTATCTCCTGAGGTTCTCTGATTTCTTCAACAGGTTCTTCACTGACTGCTCTTAATTTTATGATTTCTTCTCCTTCTTCTTCTTCTTCCTCTCCTCGTGAAACTTTGTCAAAGATGACGTCTACTTTCGATGCGACGTCGCGTAGGAGGTCCTCCACGATGACAGGCGTGTTGCATCGAATCACCAGTTTGCCATGGCCCATTATCGCCGCCTCCTCGCCACAGGTTAGGCAGCCTGCAGCGCTCTCGTTCTTGCGCGCTGAAGACTTACCAGTAGCGTGTCTTACAAATTTGAACCCAGACTTTCCATTGTTATGTTGACGATGAGACGTCACGTGTTGCGCAAGGCCACCTTGAAGTCGATCCACCTTTCTCTCGATAAGCTGAAAGATTATCGAATTTTGAAGGTTTACGAAGATGGTGTAATTTCTACTATGGACAAAATACATTAGATAAATTCAGCACGATGAAAAAATGGCGTAGATTACTTTCTTATATGGAATCTTTCAGCGATAAAACCACCGACAATGATCAAGATCTGTAGACATTCCTCTGTCTTCGTGAAACTGCATTCCACTACACAACGTACTGAAAGTGGTCGCCGAGATTTGGATTTCGGACTTCCCAAATATGAACCACGGTTACTAACCACTAGTCCGTGACAATCATACGAAAAGACTTTGCAATACAAACCGTAAAGAAACTTCTAACACGCTTATCTGTTGGCTATAAAATATCCCTCCAGAGACGTCCAATAGCTTTCCACATCGAATTTTAAATTTACAAGTTCGATATTTTGTTAAACTAAACGATAGTCTAATATGATCTCAAAACTGCAGTTTCACTATTGAAATTGATCTATACACTTTATACTTCGTATACTAATTAATTTTTTCTTCATTCATACACTCACAACGATGCATTTCAAATACCAATATGTCAGCCATAAGTGAGACTGGATTTGAAACGGTAGTGAGAACAAAGTAACAATTCACATTGTTCTCATGACAAGAGAAAAGCGTTCATAATTGTTCTATGATATTTTAACAATATCAACAACGAAGATAAATATTTAAGTATTAGAAAATGATAGAAGACTGGATTAATGAAGGCCAACGATTGGAAATACCAGTTCTGAACCCGCAAAGTTGGTACGATTGTGACAATGATAAAAATTCTGATGATTGAAGGGCGGTGTTTGTTATGATTAAAACTAGCCTCACTGGTATTCAGTAAATGCAGTATACTTCTATAAAAGTTAAACAAGGAAGTCTTAAATCATTCCACAGATTCAATAGAAAGAAGTCTTAAACCAGTGTTGACGAGTGATTTATGGAAAATGTTCACGATGATTCTTGAGCAGAGGCACTTTCAGCACATCATCCATCACACGAAAGCTGTTTATTGCATCCAAATCAGACTTCCAGCCCTCTCGCGATTCTGTTCAATAAAGGGAACTTCTCTGAACACATGCAGTCCGCGAGCTTTGTATCCGGCCCTGCGCGCCTATTATTTTCACCTGGGTACAGGTTTCAAAACCCTCTTCTCAGCTGTCCAGAGGCGTAATAACTGTTTATATAAATTCCATCTTACGACAAGTTAACGGTTTACTGAAAACTGGCGCGTGATTAATCAGGCTTTTAGGTTTCCATGAAACAGCTGATGGGTATTGGGTCCTCCTACTAGTGACGAGATTAAGAAAGTATAAAGCTATACCACTGTTCTCCCATAATTCTGCACGGCGTGATGCTTTATTAAGCACATGAGAAAATATTACCGTCTTTAATAAATTTAGCTTTTTCTCCTGCCTTTTGTGCTAAGTGGCATTTATTCAGATGACTTTCCACTGTCTTATCTTGACACTCTGTTTGCAAAGTCATTATAATTTAATCAAACATTGTTTGTCACAGATGTTCTTTGTTAAATTTTCAAATATTAACAGAAAACAAGAATTACGTAATAAAACAGGTCTAAATATTTTTTCCTCAGTTGGTAACATCCGTTAATATGTGGGAAATTACAGCAACTTTCTGCATTTCCAGGGGACTGTTCTTTTGACACCAGAAGAAATAATTAATTTGATGAGGAAATTCTTTAGCAACTACTAGATCGAGTGATTCTCACACCGCCTAAATATGGCTGTCCTCTGGTATATTTCACAATGTATTCCAGTAGATATTTACTGACGTTTCATCACCCTGATGATGGAGGCAGCAAGCTCCTCTGAAACGTCGGTCAATATCCTACCAGGCTACACTGCTAATATCCTAGAAGACAGCTGTATTCTAGTTCGTCGCCGACAAATCTCACCTTACACTTATTTGTGACCTCACCTTCAGGGTGCTGAGGACACCTCTTGTAGTGAACTCCCCAAAAAGAGGCCCGTCCTTCTGTTGGTCCAGCGCCTTGCCGATAGCCGCCAACTTGTGGTCTGTCTCGCCCAGCTTTTCCACGACTCGTTCCACCTTGTGATCAACCTCCATAAGAGAACTCACCTTCCCGTCCAGAAGGACCATTTTCTCCTGACCCCTGTATCACATCACACAGTGAAGCGACTTAATATCCTTGTGAAGGTTTAGGTGAAAATGTCGATGTTGTTCTTCTGGGTTGCGACCGCCGTGTGGGCTAAGGAGCCTCCGAAACGTCGTCCCTACCTACAAGTCCACACGGCGTCACAAACCATGACAACAACAATTACGATCCATGTTTTTTTGTTAAAAACGCTAAATTTAAAATTTCAAAAAAGAAATTCTGGGCGGAACTTTAGGGTCTGCACTTTACAGCTTACATGGCAAGCTACTAAAACATGTAAATAAATATTTATATAATTAATGACTAATTTTATGCGCATAATTTCGACCAGTGCTGATTAAATCTATGAAGGTGGTTCAGATATAATCGAGAATTTTTATTGTTATTCCTAAACAATAATGTGGAAAGGTGTCATTCTTGAACAGTCGTTTCATGTTCCAAAAAAATTAACACATAATAACTATACCAGCCTACTTCAATAAAATTTATAGTACAGAACTGTATGAATTAAATACACCCTTATGATATGTAGGTTTCGAGAACGGATTCGACAATGGTTCCGTTGTACCGGTATCTGCACAAGCAGTGTCATGTCGGCGGTGTTCCCATGACCCCAAACATCTTGTGATATTTCGGGAGTCCTGATTTTCATCCCAGCGTCAGAACAGGGCGAGCGAATCCACTCTTCCTACATTTTGTTTGTCAACATGCTCATCACACGGTCTTCCATGTATATCGAAAGTTTTGACGAAAATAAACAACACTTTAAATAATGCAGAACAAGATCCCGAGATAAGCCACTGAATGCCAAGAATAGAATTTTCTTGTAGGATTTGAGGTTTTCACGGTGGCCAGTCTGTCGTTGGCTAGAAGTTTACCGACGTTTCAGAGGCCCTTGCTGGCTCCATCATCAGGACGATTATCGCCCTGTTGATGGAGGCACGACGTAACAACCCAGAAGACAGCCGTCTTCATTCAATTTTATTTCTTCTCTCCACATTCTTCCTCAATTCGTCAGCGTGCTTTATCTATCAACGGTTCTCTGCTACTAACAGCCTTTTTTAATTGCCAAGCAAGTTATAGAATTATATTATTTGCAAAAATTGTTTTAATCTTTGTATTACATTTACCGTTAACCATGACAGAGGAAGATTAATTTTCTGGATGGCTCGGTGGTAAATTTTAAACTTAGTTTTTAATACAATGAAATAGCTTTTTTTAAGAGAAACTTCTGGTATAGACATGTTCCTAGCAATTTTTCTATATCAAGTTTTGTGTTAACAGATTAGATTAGTATCCCAATGGAACAACTGTTCATAAGACGGAAAGAATAAACAGCTTATTCAAACAGTTAACAGATAAGCCCCACGTGCTTCGTTTAGGGACCCTCCTTATTTAGCAAGATCAAAGCAGAATCGCGCGGTCACAGATGCAATGAAGCGTAAATTATTCCGGTGAATACGTCATTTCTACGTATGACATTGAAATTATATCCGTGGAAATTTACAGACAGATGCAACCGTTTCTCGTGACAAAAAGACGCCTAAGAGTGATTGTTTACAAAAAAGTATCAAGATCAAGAATGACCTAACTACCGTATTTAATTTGCAGTTAGCGTGGTCTGGAAATTCACAGCCTTCTATAAACATCAAAGGTCCATTTCTGTGTTAACAACAGCCCATCATTGGACCCTGACCTGAGCCAGGCGAATCCAATCCACATCAATTCCTGTATCAGTTTATTAATGTCTCAGCGCCATTTTTGTATCTGGACTGTGACGAAATTGTTTGCAAATACTGATTGCTGATTCTATTCTGCATTTCTGGGTGCGTTCATATTCCTGTTAATCGTCTGTGTGTACACTTATAACTCTGATATCTTGTTTAAACAGTAAAAAATTAATCACTTCTCTGTTGATAATTCTGTCTCAATTCCAACGTCTTCCAGATGTTCAGAAAACGACTACGCAAACAGGACCAGCGAGTCGCAAGACATAAATTCATGACACTGTGACCTTTAAGCGTGTGATACAGATGACCTCTGACCTCCCACTCACCTACTCAGGATGTCCACCTTCTTGTCCAACGTGCTCATTTGGTCATTCCAAGCGGCCACGTGCAGCTGGAACGTATCCCACACGTGGGCTCGCTCCTGCAAGTTCTTCACATTGCTGTCCAGGCTGCTGAGTGTGGAGGCCATGGACAACATCCGATATTCCAGCTTACCGAGGTAGAGAGTGTTGAACTTCTCCAGTTCGCCTGCAAACGCGAATACAGAACGAAAAGAGGACGATAATGTTGTAGCAGAATAAAAGAAAAACTTCAGTTTCCTTACTTTGAACAAGTGGCCTTTGATTTGAGGTTCTCACGGAGGCGAGTATGAAGATGACTGTCTTCTGGGGTGTTGCGACACGTAGTCTGATAGAAATTCACCGACGTTTCATCGTCCTCACCCCATGGATGATACAGGCAGTAAGCACCTCAACGTCAATCTGTTTCTACCGGACTACTCGGCTAAAGACCTCAGAAGACAGCCATTGTTACACTTTGAGTATATTTTTAAGAAATCAGGATCATTTTATATCAATCTGAAGACAAATACAACGGCAAAATATGTTTTCTTTAATACGCGTCAGACGTGTTGACAGCGACACAAAATTATAAAAGGCAGAGTCTGAAACCTGAAGTACACAAAGAATTAATTAGTCCAAAGATAAGCCTAGCAGCTACAGATGCAAACATGATGCTGTTCAGGAGAGAACATATGCTAATTTATTTCCCATAAAGCACATGCGCATTCAGGTTAGTGCCCCACCTAATTTTCGTCGTCCACAGAAACTTCACCCACTCAATTAAGCAGTAAAAACGTCGCCCGATTGGACTGGAACAATGAGTCACTTCACCACACCCACTACAATGAACCTCGTGTAGTGTTTCCATATAGAGGTCAGTGAGTCCGGCGTTAGTTCCGGAAAGCGAGAGCCAGAGGGTACGGATGCTTATAAAGGGATTAAATTCGGCTTCTCTTTCTTCATTATTTTTCTCTCTTTATTCCTTTTGTACTTTCGTTTTTTTTTTCTGCTTGCTTTCTTTCTCAAGAATTTCTGCGATTCATTTATTTCTTGCAAAATGATTGTTGAGAGAACGATATTGTTTCAGACAAAAGACTTTTACAAACTATTCAATTCATCTAACATACAGCCTACTACATATATGACGAAATGTCTCTTAACTTGTCAATTTTAAACAAAAAATATTTGCAATTTAAAAGACCAGAATCTTAACTACTAAACCCACTTAATCAACTCCTAACTGTACATAAAGTGCATTCTTCACGTCTTCCTGAAGTAATATAATCCATAACGCTATAAATGGGGCATCCACAAAGTCGCTTACGTGACACAGCGGCCATCATGGTCTTGACATTACCAATCTCCTCCCACAGCTTGTCGGAAGGACTCGCAGGTACACCACCGGAAAATCTCATCAGAAGCAGCAACATCGCCACTACGAGTCTGAAACCAAATTCCTGCAACACACCACAGGAGACTTCCAGGCTTCTGCATACACCTTTATTAAAATGTTAATAGTACATCCATGGGCTACCCAACGTCAAGAAACTCTACCCGTAAAAAGCAAAATTTTCCATCGATCTTCTCTCATTCTTACATTTCAAACTATAAATGCTAGTGAAACTCGTAAAAAATCAGATTTAACTCGTCTGGACGAAAGACTCGGTGTTCGCTTTTTCAACACCAATTCAATTCTTTATTTTAATTTCCTCCACCAACAGTCAAATGGCCAATTATAGATACAGTACAGTACACATTATATCATTTAAAACAGTAAAAATGTTACTTCAACAATAATAATAATTCCTATTTTTCAAGCTATCGCTGTCATGTCTGCTAAAACCAAAAGCTTCCTTTTGTAACGATAGCTTCTTATAGAATCACGAGAGGACGTAACTTATAATGACACCTAAAGTGACTTCGAGACGAGAAATCAAAACTGTGTGTTCAAGACCAAATCTAAATTAATCTACCTTCACTCTGAGACCAGCCAAGTGTAGAATCAGAGACGAACTCCTTAACTTTAGACCCAGGTTATGATAATGTGCACCTTGGTCAGGGCTACCCTACGCCTTCGTAGGGCGGTGATAGATGAGTATGGTGCAATGTTGGAATAGCGACTGGATGGGGCAGGAGAAAATATGCTACAGTGCTACTTCGCCCACCGGGAATCATTCTCGAAGTCACCCGGGATTGAAACCTTGTCTCCTTGGCGAGAAACTGGCTTCTATAAACATTGCCGATAAGCATAGAGAGCTCTAGTTCAAAATGTTATCGCGTAATTTGTGGTCTTTAATGTAGTCAGTCTACTTGGGTGGCCCAAATCATTCCTCTTGTCACTTTAACGCTCGTCATATGAGCACGTGACTACCTGAATGTCGAGCAGACCATAAACTTTTTAAAATTAAATTTGCTTGGTGTCTCGGAGGTCTGAGGTAGAAGGGCAGATTAGTAAAATAAATATGTCACGCCATCTCTCAAAAGGTAAAGCTACAAGTTTTTGGAGATTTCTGTCTTCTGGGTTGTTGCGCTGTGTAGTCTGGTCGATGTTAACCAACGTTTCAGAGGTCATACTGCCTCCGTCATCAGGGCGATAAGTATGAAGATTTCTGTCTTATGGGTTCTTGCGCTGTGTAGTCTGGTAGATGTTAACCAACGTTTCAGAGGTCATACTGCCTCCGTCATCAGGGCGATAAGTATGAAGATTTCTGTCTTCTGGGTTGTTGCGCTCTGTAGTCTGGTCGATGTTTACCAACGTTTCAGAGGCCATACTGCCTCCGTCATCAGG